GTGTGTGTGTGTGTGTGTGTGTGTGTGTGTGTGTGTGTGTGTGTGTATGTGTGCGCGCGCGTGTGTATAGATGTGTGTGCGTGAATGTTTGTTTTTTACGTGTACGTGTGTGTGTGTGTTTATTTGTTTGTTTTTTATTTGTTTGTTTGCGTGTTTTGTGTGCATGCGCGCGTGTGTGCGTGCATGTGTGTGTGCGTGTGTATGCGTATATGTGTGCGGGCGTGTTTCTGTGCGTGCGGGCATGCGCGTGTATGCGCGCGCACAAGCGCTTGCAGGCTCGTGAACGGATACGATATCAAATATATCTGCGCACTTTATGCATGATCAAACATTATGCATATATAGAACCCACACATTATCTCACTGCTTCACGTCAAGATCAAATTGCAGATAAACAAACGCACGGGCGGCGTATGATCATGCATGAGATATTGCATCAGGCCTCGCCGTAACTATTTTTTATATGCTACCTAACTATATATCTTTATATGCGACAACGTCCTCACTATCAGACGGCTTTCGCTAACGTATTTGTTTTTCGGTGGTATTGTAGTGTAATCGGTTCAACTTGAAAAAAATTCTGCTCTCTTGTAAAGCGAATCTACTATGCAACAAAAAAACTACACCGACTATTGCACGAATCTTATTTGTACTCATTTGCTTGCCGTATACGCAAAGGCGATTAGGTTTTTTTTTGCGAAAACGCATTTTCGTGCCCGATTTTACGATTTGTATTGCGACCGCGATAGAACAAAAAACGGTTTTTTTTCGACTGTAAGCGTATATGAGACGACAAGAGCTCTTGGCTTCTTCTCGTTCTATATGCGCCTTCATCCTTCACGCGTCATCGCAAGCTCGTTCGCGCACACGCAGCGACCAACGCAAACCGCGGCGGTCGCGTTTTAATTATAACATAGGCTCTCGTAAAATTCCATTTCCCTGGGCCTTTCGCCTAGATGCGATTTCAAATCCTAAGCCGTATCGCGAAATTTGAATAAGATTTTCCTGCATTTACGCATTAGGCAGCAGCAGTAGCAGCATCAGAAGCAGCGGCAGTAGCAGTAGCAGTAGCAGCAGCATCAGCATCAGCATCAGCAGCAGCAGCAGCGGCGGCGGCAGCAGCATCAGCAGCAGCAGCAGCAGAAGTCGCTGCAGCAGTAACAGCAAGAGTAGTAGCAGCAGCAACAACAACAACAGTAACAGCAGCAGCAACAGCAACAGCAGCAACAACAGTAGCAGTAGCAGCAGCAGCAGCAGCAACAGCAACAACAGCAGTAGCAGTAGCAGTAGCAGCAGCAGTAGCAGCAGCAGCATCACCACCACCATCACCTCCAGCAGCAGTAGTAGTAGCAGCAGCAGCAGCAGTAGCAGCAATAGCAGCAGCAGCAGCAGCAGCAGCAGCATCATCAGCAGCAGCAACAACAGCAGCAACAACAACAGCAGCAGCAGCTCTGAAACGTTGCAGGCACCAACGTGCGCCACGGCGAATATGAAATCTGTCGCCATGCGAACCTGAGCGCTTCACGTAATAATCCCGGCTTTCCACTCTCGTTCCTGATTTGATTGGTCGTCGCCGAAACAAGAGCCGGTCTCGTCTCTCTCGCGCTGCGCTGGATATATAACTGCTAGAATATCACCCTGGCGGCCGAACCAAGCGATTACACGCCATGCGACTATATACCTTTGCATTCGAGAGATATCTTTTCAGGAAAACACGTAGGGTAACTTTATTAGAAAGGTTAATGGAATCGTAAAAAGTTGTTAACCGCCCACGCGCGTGTTTATATACGTCTGCATTTTAAACTAACACACGCACGCACGCACGCACGCACGCCCGCACGCGCACACACACACACACACACACACACACACACACACACACACACACAGACACACACCGTCGCGAGCGCGCGGGCGAGACTTGGAGAGGGACACGCGATCGTGAGTGTTTGCGCAGCCGGGATAGGACGTCGGGGCACAAAGCACGCATTCACCGCGCCACACATCAAAGGATGCGGCCAATAATTGGTGCGGCCGATACAGAGGCGAGAGACGCCCCTCTCACCACACACGCACGCGCACACTAGCACGCACGCACGCACACGCAAGAACGTACGCCCACACACTCGCTATCTCTGTCATCGTGCGAACACGCCATGTCAACGTACATGCATCAGCGCCAAGATGGCGGCTCCTAGCAGCGCCCCCTCGAGGGAAAAAATTCACCGCGCCCATATTTGATCTTCGCAGACTCGCTCTCTCTCTCTTTCTCCCTGTCTCTCTCTCTCTCTCTCTTTCTCTCTCTCTTCCTCTCTCGCTCTCTCTCTCTTTTACGCATGCCCCGTGCGCTCGACGTGCTGATCGGCGAAAAAGATGAGCTCATTCAAGACGCGCTGATTTTTTTCGCTTCGCCCAGCTGTGCCTCTGCCGGCGACGACTTCTGATGAAATTGCGTCGGCACGCGTGCGTAACTAATTGCTCGTAGAGAGTCTGTGCGCGCTTCAGTGTGCATCCCTGAGCATCCCTGAAGCTCAGAGACGAGAGCAGAAGCCGCCAGCGCGAGAAAGCTTGTCCGTGACAGAACGAGAGCCCGCGCTTACAATCTATATAACTATACAGACCGCTGTCAGACAAAGCGAGAGCACCCTATAACTATCTATATAACTATATATAAATACCTCTGTCAGATATGCTACTCGGAATCTTTGTTTTCAATCGTTGTATCGTTTTATTTTTATCTATTTCGTATTACATTGATATATCTATGCAGCTTTAGAGATATGCTCATGGTAACAATAGTTTTCGTAACCAGTGTCGTGTAGTTGCGATGCATCTGACAACGAACCGATGGCAACTAGTAAAGGCACCGCGTCGCAGATACACGCCAGACATGACAGACAACAGCAATAACTTACTTGTGGGATCTTAAACAGGCGCAGTAGGTTAGCAACTTGGATCGACGTGACGCTAGAGGACGCTCCGACGACTCCAGCGATGACGTCATTCTTCTGAGTGCAGTTGCAGTCGGTGTCGTCGATGTCAATGTTCTGAATTGAACCTGGACAAACAGAAGCGAACGCTGAGCATAAACGAACGAGCAGAGGTCGAATTGCAATCAAACGAGAGAGAGAGGGGAGAGGAGAGTGAGTGAGAGCAAATGGGCAACGAGACAGAGATAAGGACACATTGAGAGAGAGAGAGAGAGAGAGAGAGAGAGAGAGAGAGAGAGAGAGAGAGAGAGAGAGAGAGAGAGAGAGAGAGAGAGAGAGAGAGAACTCTAGAGCGTGCGAGAGGGAGTGTGTGGTGAAGTGGGTGGGGCTAGATAGAAGATAATGAATAAGAAGTTATATAACTTTAAATAAGTAGAGGCTTCAAGACCTATCGGTAACATGTCAATACATGCCAATACATTAAATATTATAGTCATTCCCCGCTTCATTCATTCACACTGAACTGTTTATTCATATATTCCCCGCGTGAAAACGTCGGCATAACTCGTGCCACCAGGGGGAGCCATGTGGTGTTAATCGTCGTTATATCTGCGTCATCAGAGACAATCGGGGAGATAATCAGTGTAACTGTCAATTAAACTTAATCGTCGTTATATCTCATAGAAATAATATATAAATAGACTAGCCATATAGTCTATAATATAGATAAGTCGATAATATAGTCTATCTGTATTATTTCTATGTTATATCTGCATTATCAGAGACACGCTGGGAGATAATCAGTTTAACTGTCAATTAAATTTAATCGTCGTTATATCTCATAGAAATAATATAGATAGACTAGCCATATAGTCTATAATACGACCACCGCCGGTGGGCGAAACATGTTATGCGGGGTGCGAAAAAAATGGAAGCAACCGGTAACTAACCAGAAATTTGGCTAATTAAGATAAATTCTGTGAGCCTCACTTTCGTGCACAACATTTCCGTTTCCAGCTTCCTTGTTTGAATTCTGACTTATAAATTCTCATATTTGCTCACTACAAAAAATAGTACCGCAATTCAACCGGGGTTGTCGCTCAAATGGTATGCCTTACTATATAATATAGTCTATCTATATTATTTCTATGTTATATCTGCGTTATCAGAGACATGCGGGGGACATACTCAGTGTGACTGTGACCGCCGACAACGAACGCATTCTCTCTGCCGACGCCAAGGGCGCCATCAAGTGTTGGCAAGCGGAAACAGGAGAGCAGCTGTTGTCGTGTAACGGACCGTCGCACCTCGTCGCTGTGACTCCAGACAGTAAATACGTGTTCTCCAGCGACGGAGATCACAGGTGAGTTGGTGTGGGGGCGGGGGTGGTCTCTCTGTACATGTCCTCCTCCTTCTCTGCCTGTCCCGACCGTCTCCCTGTACATGTCTTCCTCCTTTTCTGCCTGTCCCGACCGTCTCCCTGTACATGTCCTCCTCCTTCTCTGCCTGTCCCGACCGTCTCCCTGTACACACCTCCTGCTTCTCTGCCTGTCCCGACCGTCTCCCTGTACATGTCTTCCTCCTTTTCTGCCTGTCTCGACTGTCTCCCTGTACATGTCTTCCTCCTTCTCTGCCTGTCCCGACCGGCTCCCTGTACATATCTCCTTCTTCTCTGCCTGTTCCGCCCGTCTCCCTGTACATGTCCTCCTTCTTCTCTGCCTGTCCCGACCGTCTCCCCGTACACGTCGCCTCCTCTCCCACACACAATGCGACATCACCAACTAATTCACCTTATGCGAAACTGTTCTTTCTGTACGGATTTTCAAAAATGTTCCTAATATTTATGATTGCATTAAATATGTATGAATAAATTGGAATAGAGGACATAGTATTTTACATGTCTGTTATATTTGCGGAATAATTATTGCAAGCATTAATGAATATAATATGCAAGCCCGCCATCGACAACATTTTGCGTGAAGAAAGACCACCCGACCTTTCTTATGTTTACATTGTTCAGCATGTTAATACGTTATTTACATGTTAATACGTTATTTACATGTTAATACGTTATTTACATGTTAATACGTTATTTACATGTTAATACGTTAGTATTAACATGTAAACAACGTATTAACATGTAAACTAACGTATTAACATGTAAAAAGGTGACAATATTACTCGTCACATTTAATACATTGTTTTTTCACAAGTCAGCAAGCTTAATACAAAGTTTACAGTGTTTACGTTGTTTACGTTGTTTACGTTGTTTACGGTGTTTACGTTGTTTACGTTGTTTACCTCACAGCGCGCGGCTGTGGACACTCAGTGACGTCAACGTTGTACAGAAGATCACGCACGCGGATGTTTACGTTGTTTACGTTGTTTACGTTGTTTACGTTGTTTACGTTGTTTACGTTGTTTACGTTGTTTACGTTGTTTACCTTGCAGCGCGCGGCTGTGGACACTCATTGACGTCAACGTTGTACAGAAAATCACGCACGCGGATGTTTACGTTGTTTACGTTGTTTACGTTGTTTACGTTGTTTACGTTGTTTACGTTGTTTACCTCGCAGCGCGCGGCTGTGGACACTCAGTGACGTCAACGTTGTACAAAAGATCACGCACGCGGACATGATCACGTGTGTGACGATGGCGAGCGACTCCAAGTACACGGTCACTGGTTCCCTCGACATGAGTCTCAAGATATGGGAGGTGGCCACCGGAAAACTCACTCAGGTTCGTAACCCCGTCATACATTCATTCATAGAGTCAGTAGTGTATAATATATATATATATATATATATATATATATATATATATATAG